AATCAGATATTAAAGAATTCATCCAACCAATAATATAAATAAATAGTTGTTTTTCACATTTTATTCATGCAATTGAAAATAGTAACCTGTTTTAATAATTTTTGACGCCCTTTTAGGGTTAAGTAATTTGATTCAGCCGGTGTATCAATCTCCTGGAATATTTCTTACAGAATGTGTATATCATTATTGTACCTGACGTTTTTTATTTCATGTGACTGTTATGATAACACTTAATTATTCACTTGAAATAAAATTCACTTGAAATAAAATTAAATTTAGTGAAATAGTAAGCTTTCTGTGTGCATCATTTAGGTTAAAAGCAACAACAATTTCTTAACTTCAGATCTACTTCATATATTCACTCCATAAACCACCTAAATGAATATTATGAAAAATCCTATTCAAGTCGGTGATACTTCCACCCGACCTGTTTTTCCATACAGAAAGGCATTTTCTCATCGCTAGCGTAATGTCACTACTATGATTATTCCGAATTACTGATGCCTCGTTGAACTCAATACCGAGTCCCACGGACAGGTCATTGTATTTCTCGTAAGGGATGTGGGCTGCAAGAATATTCAGTTGTCCATCCGATACCGCATCACTGTATGACAAGGATTTAAAAAAAAGGGAATTATTATGAAAAGTATTTCTCAACTCATTGTGAATTTCTGCTGGGTCGTATTGTTTTAATTTCCGTGAGCACCTCTTCTTTACATTAGTTGGAAGATATTTACCAATTCCATTGCGTTGTCATGGGAGACTTAGTACATTCATATTTCAATTATCGTTACGTTTTGGGTAGATACCTCTCTGTAAGCTTTTAAGTCGTTTTGAACATTCATCCTCCAAGCATTGAGAATATCAAATTCTTCATAGCTGCAATCATCTTTTCGACTACTGGATGTCTTGCAAAGCATCAAGTTTTATGAACAAATATTTTAATTATGTGTTATTATTATTATCAGATGTAGTAGTAGTAGTAGTAGTAGTAGTAGTATTAGTATTATGTATCTTTTCCTTCGGGGCGGGTATGATTTATCAAGTTTTGACCTATCCTTTCAATGAGATTTTAATCAAGAATGATCTAAAAATAAAAATAATAAATAGAAATAAACAATAAATCTAACCTGGTTTGAGAAGTGGAAACTCCATCGGCTACTGCTGATTCATCTGGAGGAGGAATTGCGACTGAAGTGGATACCAAGGATAACGGGGAAGCAGAAACTGTGTTTCCTAGTGATGTCTTGGCTGTTGCTGATGGTAAAGGTGGGAAATTGTCTGAACTTCGTAAAAATATTTGTTCATTACGTTCATGTAATTGGTTGTAGAATTATGTTAAATTGTAGATTGAATTACGATTCGATCACACAAATATCAATTTGTCATTGATTAAATCTTGTTACCTCATTTCATTATTATTTTATCAAATCTGCTGATGATCAGCATGCATTGTACGTTGGTGAGATTAAGTTTGATTTTGAAGAAAAAAAACTAATGTTAGCAAATTCCTAACATCTCAATTTGTTTTTTTTCTTAGAAGAGGAGAGGGATGGAAACAGTAAGAACAAAATACATGCTAAAGAAGAAGTGTAAAGGCTGCAGAGGGTGTGTTTTTATCTTGAAGACGAAGTTAACAGTTTTTTTTGGTCAAAGTTCATGTCTGCCCATGACACTCATATTGTCCGTTCATAACAAAGAGTTTTCACACTTATAACTGAAGTTGGAGTTTGGTTTAGAATTAAATCGATGTGACAAATAAATCAACTTCCCTCATCAATATTTGCAGCTGAATTTAAATGTCATTGTCAGCTAGTTAATATAAAAAGAGACAAAATAGAGCCTAAGTCAAGATTCACGTTTCTATCTCATCCGTCAGTGACAACGAACTTTTCATTTATTCTTTACTAGGAGGTAACCAAGTGTTTTTAATTTATTTTTTTATTTTTTAGCATGGTTGATGTAGTAATGGTTGCTGCTTACAGTTAGAGTGAAACACATAGCCTCACTTGAATCAAACGAAACAGATAAACAAATATTCTTTTTTAAACTCACGAGAAGCAAGGAAATTGGTCTTGAACATTATTTCCATTGGAAGCTTAGACTGTATCACTTCCAGATTCACCAGCAGGTCATCTGCTTTCCCGATAAAGTCCAATTTGAAGTAGACAGTATGCTTACTGTTTTCGATGAAGCTCGCATCCACAACCTGTCATTGGATATAATTGAGTGTTCATATTAGCACAATATACAGGAAAAGAGGATTAAAATAAAATTTAAATACATTTGTAGGGGAGTACACATAAAGTTATTACATACGATGAACAAGTAAAGATAACATTAAATGCATGTTCTATATAGAATACAAGGTGGTGGTACTATGGAGGGTAGGATCATAGATATATTTGTCTCCTTGAAGGTGGTGAAGGTGAAAACAATCAAATTTCCAAACGCCTTCACATATTAAACTGGTCGGCTTTTCAGGATCTAAGCTACAATTCTACGTTAATTATCGCCCGAATTGGTTTTCTGAACGCACTGTAAGTGGTCTAGCTACTGAAAATGGATCTTGTGAACAATCTAATGAAACTTAATTGTATTGGGTTTTCACCTACTTTGTTAAGAACATAAACAAGATGAGATTCATGGCGTAACGGGAGGGTCCGAATTTAAGCGTGACCGATTGTTCTATTTTATTTGGGCAAGTTTACGATTGCTAATTCCTACCCAATAAACCTGTTATATAAGTTCTCCATATCTAATATTGTTCAGTATGTACTATTAAGTAACTTGCTCATTCAGCGTCTTTATACAAAAGTGCACAGCTTTGCCAATGTTACGACGCTACGCCGCCGTACTGATCTCTAGACAAATGTTACATAGTAATGTCTTTAAGTCAAATGAAGTGGTGGTTCTTGAATTGCTGGTATCTCCCAGATTACGGTCTTTCATATCAGAACCAGTTTTTATTGTCATCTTACTAGGTAATATATGAATATGTATTCACGATCAGACACATGGTGTGTAAAGAATAAAGAATAAACCGATTCATTATACTTCAGATAACGATCATACAGTCGACCTGTTCGAACACAAGACCAACAACATCTAATACGGGAAGGGGAAGGTAGGGGGGATAGGGTTAGGGGACTCTCACCTTTCTACATGTGTCATTATCATTCAGTTGGCAAGTGATTTCCATAGCTTCATATTTGACATTCATCTCGTCATCATCATCTTTAGCGGGTTGATACTCTGCTTGCTCCTTGATTTCATGAACATCTCTCTATGACAAGGTAATGTGACAAAACGATGGTTATTTATACAAATTTCAGACTTGAGAATACAAACATTTTGCATGTATCATTGTTCAAACTGGCACAAAATGTACTAAAAAAAATGTAATAAAAAAAAAAAAAAAATAGCTTTGGAGGATAGTAAAACGGCTGAACTTTGAATTATTTATTGACACACAACTTCCAGAAGAATTTATCATTCACTAGGCCCACCTTGAATCCAATATGAATAAATTCAACATTCCATAAGTTTTCCGTTTAACCATGTCGGGTTGGAAATGGGATAGAATAAAAGGAAAGCGAGCGTGTTCTTTCGATATTCCTTAAGAGGACTACTTGATATTTTAAGGAGAAATGTAGGAAAAATTAAGCGACGTATTATTTAGTGAGTGCCTGGTCAAGTTCACCATTCTGTTATGGACTACCAATATATTGTGAAATCGCAAAGTTAAAGAATATTACACATAACACCATGCAAAACATAACTTTTGAAGATTATTTGAATCCCTTGAATTTGTAGTCATTTCAAACAGCATGGATTAAGTCTTACGTCTGTCATGTTAATGGAAATGGAGCCGATCTTATCAGAGCATCATTATTCACTTAGTGGGCAATCGGTGAACATTAATGTATGTGTGTTTTAATGAAAAGGATAGTGGATATTTAATCGAGATTACTTCATATGACAGATATTTATGCCGTACCCAAGAGTTTCCATGAGGCTTGTTGGTCATACGAAACTCCAGCGGTATTTCCCTAGACTGTGGCATAATCTTTGGAAGAAAAGGCATGAAGGACATTCGTTTGCTTTTCATATAGAACAGATTTGTAATGAAGGCCGGAAATACTATTGTGAAGTGCTCCAGTAAAATCTCCACATGGTTGCATGTAACCAGACAGGTTCTTGAAGTTTGTACAATGCGATCAGCTTTTCCTTCTGTAAATAAAAATGAAATGAATTGCACACAAACATATTACTAGTAGTAGTTGTTTTTGTGGTAGTAGTAGTTGTTGTTGTGGTTCTAGTAATATGATTACATTTAGTTCTTTCTTCAATATCAGTGGAAACATTACCTGTTTTTGGTAAGCTTTCACTCGCTGAGCTACAAGCTTCTTTAGACCTTTGTATTTCTTTCCACTGTTTGTGAAGAAAGACGGAATTTTCAAGCTACATCACCGACCAGATGAACCTCTTTGGTGATTTAGTGGAAGTCGAGGTTGTAGTGATTTGCTACTCGCTACCAAAATGTAAATTGGTACCTTGTAATTGCTGGGGTAATAATAATCGTAGGGTCATAAGAATGAGTAGCATTGATACTGATGATTCTTGCGTATTAAAGTAAAATTTGTATTATTATCATTATTATTAGTAGTAGTAGTAATAGTAGAAGTATTATTATTATTATAATCATCAGTATCATTATTATTATTATATTAACTACTACTGTAAATATTCACCCTGTTCTAGATCCTAGACGAATTATCACATTCTGTCTATCTACGATCCTTTACCCCACTCAGTTGTTAAACGGGTATTTGCTCGGATGCTTTCAGTTTTGGATGATTAGAAATTACATCCCTGTAAAATGGCGACTGGCTAGAAAGCTCTCCATTTAGTTGGAGGGTATGTGGTATTATAACAACTACAAAAAAAAATTCTTCTTCTTCTGATTTCGACATGTTAATGAACTTTCTGTTTCTTGATCACACTGCTTTACCGTGATTCCAGAAGTACAGTACGACCTGCACTTTTGTCGGATCAATGAGGTTGGCACAATGAGGAATCTTCAACGTGACAGGTTTTTCTGATACAAATTGTAATCCTGACGGAAGACACTGGAAGCCATAGGTAAGGAGCGTCTCGTCGTGCCTCAGGGTGATTTCAGGTGGGATGTCTTTAATAACATCTAAACTGATCGTTTCACTAGAACCCTCTTGCAGCGCACCGGGAGGGATGGAAAGAGTGAATCCGTATGACGGGATCTGAAGCTCTCCTCCATTATGGTCAAAGATCCCTTCACAATGGTATTTGTCTACGGTTAAAATCATTTGTAACATTATCAACACATGTATCAATTATGATGCGAGGAGATCTTGACTTAGGTATTATAAATATTCAATGTATTCTGTATTTGAAATACTTTCCAAAAACAATTTTTCGAACTTGAGTCACAACAGTGTCATATAATGCCTGGAAGCCCTAGAAGTAGGTTTTTGTCCTGTGTGATCTCTTTTTGCAACGCTTTTTACATTTACGAGGAACTACGTCGACTTCACATTATGCAACAATATTAATAAATGTAATAGCCTACTCATTATGCCCCCGAAAATTACACCCTACGACAATTTCCCCCTGGAAGAATAACCCCATGGGACAATCACCAAATGGACTATCATCCCAGGACAATAACCCCCTTAAAACAATACCCGATTTTGTTTAAATTATTTTTTTTTAAATTTATGTATTTATTTTTATTTATTTTTATTTTTATTTATTTTTTTAAATATTCTTTTTAGTGAAATCCTCCCCTTGGACAATCAACCCATGGTAATTACGTCATTAAGACGCTTGTCACAAGGGCCCATTACCTCAAAGACAATCATTATTTCCTCTGATTACCATTACCCCCTAGGGCGAATACCTGGATGATAGAACAATTACCCCTCGGACCATTGAAAAAAAGCACAAACATCATGTACGAGTCCTCTCACCCTTTCACACACACACACACGCAACCACACCAACACACACCCACACACCCATAATGGCCGCCTGTTGATATCTTTCTGGGTTTTCTTTTTCTTCTTTTTTCTTGTTTTTGTTGAGGGAGGGAGGGGGTGTGCGTGCGGGAAAAGAGTGTGGTTTTTTGTGTGTATTTGCATTCGGCAGGGACGATAATTCTTTTAGGTAAAAACAATTTTAGAACAATATGGAAATTATTATTTTAATGCAAGTTTAAAATTAGACCGAAAGAACAAGAGATTACATCGCAAAGGACGATCTGACACATTAGAAAAGGCTACAAGCAATTCAATCCCACGCATGGACCCATTTATTCCTTCAAATACTCTCACGTTATGTCCCTCATTTGTACGCATTTCCCTTTTCTGTAATTTATGTTCAGCGCCTATCAAAAATGCATGAAAATATTTATATCTGGAGTTACAAAATCAAATGAGATAAATGTACCAAAAAGCGGAATACTTTTTATCTTTTTTTTTAACATTAAGCCCTGCATACCAAAAACATTAATATGTATTATACATAATTATATTGTAATAAAAGAAAGGATATTTAAACTATATCTAATCCTCAAAAATGGCATTCAAAGAATAAGAAAGCTCACAAATTATTCTTTATCTTCACCAGAACTCAACCTTCTCTTACGTGGCTCCAAAAAATAAAAAGTCCCCTCTACGCATTATGGACATTAAGCTAAACAATAAAACTGATCACAGCGTCTATCATTTCTCTCTTTTAAATATGAATTTGTACTTCTGAATATGAATTTGGCGATTGCCTAAATTTTTCCTGTTCTGTTCTTGTTTTTACAATGCACCCATGTCAATCCAAATCAAAATGAAAACCTTATTAATCATATATTTATCATTATTTGTTTATGATAATGCAGTTTTATTATTCATTTAACACAGAGTGTTACCTCGATCAGCTCTGATGATGTCCATGGCAGGATACCTGCGAATTTATGCGAATGAAAACGTAGAAAAGAAAAGTGATATTAACATATTGTTTCAACCTTCAGGATATACTTAGGCAAGCAAAAGGTATTTGATCAAATATCCACAGATCCTTTACCCATGGAGAGGTCCTACTTTCTACTTTTAAGAATAATCATTGCTAAAGTAATGAAGGTGCTTCATATATGACTACTTTTTGTTTGCCCTTCAAAATAATACTTCCACTTGGGTACTACAGTACATACTGTTTGTTCATAAATGAATAATGAACGCATACTTTCATGTACACATATCCAGTGCCCATCTCAAGGTTTTTTTTTGCACAGTTTTACAATTGTATCTAATAACTGATTTATACAATCAGCAGGAATACTAAGATTTAAGACAAAGTCAGGACAAAACGGGATGTAATGAATGTATGGAAATTATAGCTTTCAAATGCAATTTTTCACACATTTCTTGCAAATAAAGACTCTCCTATCTACAAAAAGTAAGCATGAGAATTTTCAACAGGATTTAGCACAATTAATATTTCAACTGGCCAATATTCTAAAATTCATCTAATGGAGTTACTAAACAATCAAGTATTACTATTCATATACTACTATTCATTATAGTTTAATTAAATTTGAACAGATTTTGTTGGATCAGTAGGGTAAATTTTACCCTATTTCATCCACATAATTCACAACCTGGTAGAAATCACATTTATAACTCAGCATGAAACCCCAAATCCAAATTTAAGAAAACAATGTTTATAATTTGTATTCGTCTTTTAAAATAATAATAACTGTATTTTGTGAAGCACTTTAACAGTTAGATTGTAGACCACTCGACTAATACACCATTTCTATATTTGTTCTAAATGCCCATGTTAATATAATCCTTCCCCCACCTTGAGAAAATCATCTGGCGAGTGATTTCATCCGTGGCATAGTGGACTGGCAGGTTGCCTTGGTTATCCTTGATGTCCGGCTTTGCTCCGTTATCCAAGAGATAGAACACCAGGGCCTTCCTGGGAGACAATTCATTCTGATAGAAGACTTCTGAGATCTAAAAGAATTATCAATAGAAACGACTGTTTAAACTTTGAGAGGCCTTTTTGTTTTAGAAGATTTATCCACAGATTCATAATTCCGAACATTTGTCGTGTTTTTCTGATGGTTCGTTTATGCTTATAATTCCAAAATTTTAAGAGGTATCACTACTCCAAAGGTTGTTAATCCGAAATGGAATAAGGTTCCTTATTCAAAAGGGTTTGTAATTCCAAAAAGTGATACCGAATTTTTGTCATTTTTGCAATTATGAGCTCAATCTTATTTTTTTAGACTTACAAACCCTCTTTAGGTTTCAGAATTATATGAATCCTATTTCATTTTTCAAGAATAAGACCTTTTTTTTATAATGTAGATTTAGAGACTTATTCATTGTTAAATTTCTATGCTCATCCATGTGTGAATGGTATGATTCCAATTGCATAATTGTAGTAAGCAATTTGGTTAGTGTAGTAAGCAATTTGGTTAGTGTAGTAAATTACTGCACAGCAATTTTCGCTGGGGCAAGTGTCGTACAATCCCAGGGATAATGTGTTCTTGAGTTCTTCATCTTACCTTTTGGAGTGCTGGTGTTGCTTCAACTTTGCTGTCCTCCCGACCTAAAAGTCTGATGGCTTCGTGAAGACAAGTCTGTCCGTCTATAGACTGGATGTTGAGATCGGCGCCACGAGAAACTAATGTCTCGATGATGGAGGCGTAGCCATTGTGCGTGGCTAAATGAACTGCTGTGTATCCTTCCTTGACATGATGTCTAACAACCTGTGACAGAAAATAGCCTCAAGAATTCAAAATCTAAAAACATAATCAGGCTTTGTTATGCATATAAGCAGTTTCTTTTCTAGTTTTTCATATGTTTAATCACCACATAGACATACATATACTCAAATGTACACACATATATTCAAATGTAAGCAATTATTATACAGTCAAACCTGTATGTTAAGGTCACCCATGGGAAACAAGAACAGTGAGCACTGTAGACAGGTGGCCTTTTTAAAGAGGTTCTCAAGCAAACATTTCTTTCTCGAGGGAAGTAAAATAAACGGCCACGATACAAAGGTGGCTTTCTAAGACAGACTTGACTTACATGTATATGCACTTGTACGAGATAGGTTTTGAGAAATCCTTGTGGAATTATTTTAACCTTTTTCATAATTCAGACAATCTACATACATTTACAAGAAAATTGTAACAGGATTATTACGGCTGAAGACTAGCTAACTCTTTTCAATTTATAGTGGTATGATTTTGATACTTGCAAGAATGTTGATAAACAGTATGATAATTTTATTTCATATGAAATTATAGGAATACTAAATCAAATACCTTCTTCTCATCTTCTGTTAAACCCTTAGTATCTGCACGGCCATTTGGGGAAGAAAGGTGTTTCTGCCCTTCAGCACACCGCGTATCTGGACTCGTCCCATGCACTTGGTCTTGTTTTGCAGCGAGTGGCAACGCAGTCTGATCAGGTTTGATCAGATTAACTTCAGCTCCGTGCTCCAAAAGATATCTTGTGACATCGGTATGTCCATTTGCAGCAGACAAATGCAATGCAGATGATCCCTTCTTGGTAACCTTGCTAACATCTGCAAGTTGCTGAAGTATACACTTCACGACATCGATGTGACCATTCTGAGCAGCAATGTGCAAGGGAGTCCAACCGTCATTGTCTGTCGCATCAATGTCGGCTCCGTGGGTGAGCAAGCCTTTCGCGATATCGAGATGACCATTCTGCACTCCAACATGTAGGGCTGTAGAACCTTTCTCCTTGGTGGCTCCGTTGACCTCTGCTCCTCGCCTAAGCAAATGGTCGGTAACGTCACAATGGCCAACAAATGCAGCAACATGCAAAGGCGAGATATCATCAATATCCCCTTTAGCTACTTCAGCTCCTTGTCCAAGTAGATAATCTACAATATCAAGACACCCCTTTTGCGCAGCAAAGTGTAGAGCAGTCCAGCCAACATTGTTGCTTTCGTTCACATCAGCTCCTTCACTGATCAGATACCGAACAACTGCAAGACAGCCACCTTCTACAGCATACTGTAATGATGTGCGATCAACTGTTCTGCCTCCTTGACTTGCAAGTATATCTTGAATGTCAAGATCAGACGACATAGTTTGCACACGCACAATTACCATTCCACCTTGACCTGTCTTATTCTCATCGCCATCTTGATATTTGCTTCTACCAAGATCACTTTCTGGAGCACCTCTAAAGACAGTGAGAGAATCAACAAGTCTGCTATCTGCACGACATACACCGATCTGCATACATCGCACAACATCATAGTGACCATACTGTCCATCAGATGTTAAGACGACAGAGTCATGCACACTTCTCTTATTCAGTTCAGAGCCTTGGCTAAGCAGATACTTCGTAATGTCGATATGACTAGCATATATAGCATACTGGAGAGCAGTGATTCCATCTACGTCGCAATTATCTGCCTCAACTCCATGGCTGATTAGGGATTTGACGATATCTAAATGGCCAGACTCTGATGCAAAATGTAGGGCAGTCACTCCAGAGTTATTTCCTTTGTTCATATCAGCCCCTTCTCTGATCAGATATTCTACGACATCCAAGTTCCCTTTCTCGGAGGCACTATGCAAGGCACACCTACCAAAGTCGTTGCTAGAATTCACATCAGCTCCTTGACTTAGCAAATATTTTGTCATATCAAGGTGTCCATTACTTGCTGCAATGTGTAAGGCTGTCCAACCAAAAGAACCAGCTTTATCCAGCTCGATTCCTTGACTGACTTGATCTTTCATGGCATCAAGGTCGCCTCTCTCTGCAGCGGTATGAAACTCCGTCCAATGAATTATATTTGCTTTGGCCAGCTCAGCTTGCTGACTTGAAAGCAAAATAATTGAAACACGAACATGACCAGCAGCTGCGGCAAGGTATAAGGCTGACCACCCTTTGTCATTAGCCTTATCAACATCAGCTCCTAGCCTGACCAGGTATCTGATGACGTCAAGATGACAATTCCTTGCAGCTAGATGTAATGGGGTCAAACCGTGATTTTCAACTTTATTCACCTCAGCACCTTGTCTAATCAATTCTTTGACGACATCAAGATGACCATTCTGTGAAGCTAGATGTAATGCAGTCCGACCCCGATTTTCGACTTTATTCACCTCAGCTCCTTGATTGATCAATTCTTTGACGTCATCAAGATGGCCATTCTGTGAAGCAAGATGTAATGCTGTCCAACCGTCATGTTCGACTTTATTCACCTCAGCTTGTTGACTGATGAGATATTTGGTGACGTCAGGATGACCATTGTTTGCTGCCAAATGTAAAGGGGTAAAACCGTCATTTTTAACTTTATTCACCTCAGCTCCTTGATTGATCAATTCTTTGACAACATCTAGATGTCCGTTTATAGCAGCTGAATGTAATGCAGTCGAACCATCAGTTTTGCCTTTATTGACTTCAGCTCCTTGACTGATCAGATATTTTGTTATATCACGCTGACCTTTATGTGCAGCTAGATATAATGGGGTCAAACCTTTATGTTCAACTTTATTCACCTCAGCTCCTTGATTGATCAATTCTTTGACAACATCTAGATGTCCGTTTATAGCGGCTGAATGTAATGCAGTCCAACCATCAGTTTTGCCTTTATTGACTTCAGCTCCTTGACTGATCAGATATTTTGTTATATCACGATGACCTTTATGTGCAGCTAGATATAATGGGGTCAAGTCGTCATTTCCGCTGTTTTTCACCTCGGCTCCTTGACTGATGAGATATTTGATGACGTCAGGATGACCATTGTGTGCTGCCAAATGTAAAGGGTTCAAACCGTTATTTTCAACTTTATTCACCTCAGCACCTTGTCTAATCAATTCTTTGACGACATCAAGATGACCATTTTGTGAAACTAGATGTAATGCAGTCCAACCCCGATTTTCGACTTTATTCACCTCAGCACCTTGTTTGATCAATTCTTTGACGACATCAAGATGACCATCCTGTGAAACTAGATGTAATGCTGTCCAACCATCATTTTTGACTTTATTCACCTCGGCTCCTTGACTGATGAGATATTTGGTGACGTCAGGATGACCATTGTTTGCTGCCAAATGTAAAGGGGTAAAACCGTCATTTTCAACTTTATTCACCTCAGCACCGTGTCTGATCAATTCTTTGACGACACCAAGATGACAATTCTGGGAAGCTAGATGTAATGCAGTCCAACCATCATTTTTGACTTTATTCACCTCGGCTCCTTGACTGATGAGATATTTGGTGACGTCAGGATGACCACTGTTTGCTGCCAAATGTAAAGAGGTAAGGCCGTCATTTTCAACTTCATTCACCTCAGTACCTTGACTGATCAATTCTTTGACAACATCTAGATGTCCGTTTATAGCAGCTGAATGTAATGCAGTCCAACCATCAAGTTTGCCTTTATTGACTTCAGCTCCTTGACTGATCAGATATTTTGTTATATCACGATGACCTTTACGTGCAGCTAGATATAATGGGGTCAACTCGTCATTTCCGCTGTTTTTCACCTCGGCTCCTTGACTGATGAGATATTTGATGACGTCAGGATGACCATTGTGTGCTGCCAAATGTAAAGGGGTCAAACCGTCATTTTCAACTTTATTCACCTCAGCTCCTTGATTGATCAATTCTTTGACGTCATCAAGATGACCATTCTGTGAAGCTAGATGTAATGCAGTCCAACCGTCATTTTTGACTTTATTCACCTCAGCTTGTTGACTGATGAGATATTTGGTGACGTCAGGATGACCATTGTGTGCTGCCAAATGTAAAGGGTTCAAACCGTTATTTTCAACTTTATTCACCTCAGCACCTTGTCTAATCAATTCTTTGACGACATCAAGATGACCATTCTGTGAAGCTAGATGTAATGCAGTCCAACCCCGATTTTCGACTTTATTCACCTCAGCACCTTGTTTGATCAATTCTTTGACGTCATCAAGATGACCATCCTGTGAAACTAGATGTAATGCTGTCCAACCATCATTTTTGACTTTATTCACCTCGGCTCCTTGACTGATGAGATATTTGGTGACGTCAGGATGACCACTGTTTGCTGCCAAATGTAAAGAGGTAAAGCCGTCATTTTCAACTTCATTCACCTCAGTACCTTGACTGATCAATTCTTTGACAACATCTAGATGTCCGTTCATAGCAGCTGAATGTAATGCAGTCCAACCATCACTTTTGCCTTTATTGACTTCAGCTCCTTGACTGATCAGATATTTTGTTATATCACGATGACCACCATGTGAAGCTTGATGTAATGGGGTCAAACCATCATTTTCGGTGTTATTCACCTCGGCTCCTCTGCCGATCAGTTCTTGGATGGGGTCAAGTTGTGCATTCTGCACAGCACTACTTAATGCACTCTGCAAATCATCAACACTGCAATCTTGTTTATTTCCCTCTATACTTTCACTGGCGTACTGTTTATTTGTTATTCTATACCATGGTGATTTACAAATGTTGTTGAAATTAAATGATTTTCCGGGGTTGTTTTCCTTCTGCTCCTCAAAAAGTTGTTGCTCATAACGCCACTTCATACTGTCTGAGAGCTCTGTGGATCAGACTTTTAGCGTAGCACTTTTTGTTGGGGGGGGGGGGTGGGTACATTCCTAGTGGAAGCTAGAAGCTGAGACATCAGTTTATCATCTAACACCTAAAAAAAGAACATGTTTAAATATATTTTACATTCATACATACAACTGCTTTTTATATAGTGCAAAATCCAAACAAATATTGCTCAATTTACATTGCATGACAAATTAATGCTAAAGACAAATGAACAACAAAATGAGGAAAAGAAATATAAATAATAGTCAGTTATTGAAGAGTTGTGTCTTAAGTTCTTCAGAGTCAATCAAAGTGAAAGTATTGCCAAAGGAATGGAGTATGTTCCTTATTTTGGGGCTGTAATGAGAATAACCACACTCCTCCGATTCCGAGTTGACACATATTAACCTGAGGAGTGAATGACCATTTGAAGAGCGGAGCTGACATTATGATCGGATTGGTGTGTCCAAAAGAATGGATAGATAATTGGGTGAACAGTTATAATTCATAGACTACGAGTGACCTAAGTGATCAGAACTGAAAGTGATTTATTACCCATAGGAATGGATGATAAAAACATCGAACATAGCACACCAGAAACAATGCATTGACTATGATTCCATAAATTCATACATATTGGATTCTAGATTATATAACCCACGCGACTTCATTTGACTGAGCCCCAATTTTTTGTTAATCTCTACATTTGCATTTCATTTGTTTGTATTAGGTGTGAATGTGTGTGTAGATTTATGTGTCTGAGTGTGACTTGCAATACTACTTCTGCTACTCAGTCATGGTTGTGTGCAAACTGTGTTTCATATATTTTGCCATTTAATCACATATCCGACGACAGCGAATTTTACCTGAATATAAATCATTACTTTCACTGATCGAAACATATTGATATTGTAAGCAAAGCGCAGTCACTAACATTAAGCCCTATAAACTCAAATCTAGCCAAATTATCAAATTACTGATAGTAATGAAAGTCTTGATGATACGCAAAACAATCTTGATACAGAATCGGCCAAAACTGTCATTTATTACGTTCGGCGATTTTATGCTGAAGATACAAGGGATCACTCTTACTTTTTAGTCTTCACGTAAATTCAAGAAGTCTTCAAAGAAATTTGATCAGTTTAATTCACTTTTTGAATTCAACTTCAGTGTCATGGCAGTCAGGGGCGTCGCTAAATGGGGGGGGGTAGGGTGTAACACCCCCCCCCCCCCCACACACACACACACACATACACTTTGGTAAAATTGCGCTGCTGTCGGAAAAAAGGGAGAAAAAGAGAAAATGAAACAAAAGAAACGGGGGCATAAAAGAGAGGAGAGAGAGGGGGTAAGAATGTGTGATAGTATGGGGTGGGAGTAAGAGACAGAGGGGGGTTGTTGGGTGGAGTCGTCTCGTCAAGGGAGCAAGAAAGATACGCATAGATATGTTGCTATGTCGGTATTCTCGCTTGATCCTCGTGTACTTATACCCCCCACTCAGTGTTATTTAGAGTATGCATATCCATGTTCCCTCCTTTTGAAAACACCCCCCTAAGTCTGAAAAAGCTTGATATATATAGGAAAGACCTAAGACTGCTAAAAAGTCTATATTGGAATCAGTTTGCATGTATCAGGGTAGAAGGAGAGTGTAGTGAATATATTAACATCAGACGGGGAGTCAGACAGGGTTGTGTTATGTCGCCAGACCTGTTCAATATGTATAGTGAAATCATTCTAAGGGAATTGGAAGATGAAAATGAGATACAAGTGGGTGGCCATTCAATCACAAATATTAGATATTCTGATGACACTGTTTCATTTTCTGAATCAGAGAAAGATCTCAAGACTCCTGAATGTAGTTGTAAAAGAAAGTGAGAGAATAGGACTAGAGATCAACTATACCAAGACAAAGTGCCTGATGGTATCCAAGAAGAGCAATCCAAAATGTAACTTGAAAATGAAAGAACAGATTATTAAACAAGTCTCCTCATTTAACTACCTCGACAGCCTGATTACCGAGGATGCCAGATGTGAGATAGAGATCAAGAGAAGGATAGCTCTCGCTAAATCTGCATTTTCAAAGTTAGGCAAAATTCTGACAAATCGAACAATGAGTATGAGGACCAGAATAAGAGTATTGAATTGTTACATCTACCCAGTACTTATGTATGGTAATGAAACATGGACTTTAGCCTCTGATACTAAAAAGCGTTTGGAAAGTTGCGAAATGTGGTTTCTAAGAAGAATGATGAAAATCCCCTGGACTGACAAAGTTAGTAACGAGGCAGTTCTTACATGAGATGTTGATTAGGCAGTTGAAGTTCATGGGTCACATTACACGTAAAGAAGGCCTAGAGAATCTTGCTTTGACAGGGAAAATTGTGGGAAGAAGGAGTAGGGGAAGAAGGAGGATACTTTGGATGAACAGTCTGCAGAAATTGTTGGAAGAGAGAGGAGTAAAAGAACTGGGAGTGGTACTAATACAGAAGGCTAGGAGCCGAGTGTCGTGGAACAGCATGATCGCCAAAGTCAAACGATATGGCACTTAGAGAGAGAGAGAGAAGTCCGGTGTGTAAAGTCAATACGAGCCGGATTTTTTGTGTACTACGAGCCGGACTTTGGTGCGTGAAAAGTGCTTCTTTACCGGACATTTTGGTAACACACATAGTATCCCTCCGTTCACGGAGTTGGGGGGGGGGCGGGACTATATCAATACAGAAGTTTGAACTCGGTGAGATGTATAATATCGGTCGGCCGACTTCGAGAGAGACTACAACTAAATTATTTATATTTTTCCCAAAGTTTTACCAGCAACCATTACAAACTGTCATTGTGAACCTTACTTTAATATCAACAAAAGATCATCGAGTATCGAACCCGAGATCTGTTCAAGCGCAACGCTCCATCAAACCATGCCACATCAATTACTTGCTCACCAAAGTCGCACATTTCGTTAACATAGCTACGATGCTGACTAGTGTTGGCGAATGCGTATGTATAGATAGTTCGTAGGCAAATTAGCTTACGGCCCCGGGTTTATACGGTTATATTTGTAGACATTCGCGCATTGGCATTAATATATTTGTGGTTAATTGGTGGCTAGTTTTGTCGGTAATCAGTGGCCTCTACACACGTCACTGAAAAGGGTCTAGCGACGCTCCTGATGGCAGTATCCGAAACTTGGTTTGATTTAAATACAAATCAATATGCAATTGAAAAGTATTCTCTGGTTCATATTTTTAGACAAGATTAAAACTTATCAATACTAGTTTACAGGAGGGATTAGACCGCCCTGCAATGTCACTGGACAGGTGGTTATCTCATCAACTCAGCTCTCAGTTAACATAAGAAAAAGAGGATCATGGGGGACCAATGGTCACCGAATATGCATTGTTTAATATAGAGAGGGCGCAAGTAGCTACAAGTAGTGCAGTGGGCCTTTAAATTGAATTGCTGGTGGAGTTGCATTGTAAGGAGAAATGGATTTCATAATGTGTTAATAAATGACTAGTCATGTATAACAAGGAATTATAAAATGAGTTTTATAGAAATCAGTAACAATAACATATCCATTGTTGTAGCATGTATTTATCGCCCAACAAATAACGATGTAGGCTACTGGATTTTAATTCTAAAACGAATAACATACAAGAAATATTGGGGAGTGAAAAGAAAGGAATTTACCCAATGGGTGGCTTGAATATAAATTTGCTAAATTAAAGTTTACACAGTAAAACT